GGCCCCTCATGTGATGGACAAGCTCTACAGCTCAAACATGAGACAATGAAGGTAGGAGAGGGCAGGCCAGAGCTTTCCTTCTGAGCTCTGGTCCTTATCCACATAAGAAAAGGCCACCATGGACCACTTGATTCAGTTTGCAGGCTAACCCAGAGAACATCAATTGGTTCCTTCGTCCACACTGACAGCATGGATGGAGGAATCTCCACTGCCAGCTATTGTATTGGCTACCTGAATACAATGGCGTTGTGGAAGAGTAACTACATTGATGGAATGCAGTCACTATTTGGCTGATAATTTTCCACTTTTTTCCCATTTGTTCTTGCTTGCAGGCCTCGAATTTTGACAAATTCGGCTGGAAGCTGCAAAAAAGTGAGCGTCCTTGGGGGGGCCTTAAGCACCTCATATATGTATGGTACCTTGTATGTGTATGGTAAATCAGCACACTGCCCTAAAAAAAAAATTCAGGAAAGTCCCGAATTCTTTTTGAGGACTTTGAAGTCGCCGCCTGCATCCTCCCAAAAGGTATGGTCAGGCAGCACGCTCCATTCGGGAACTGCAACATCATGGGTCAGTTGATAGACTCCTTGGGACTACAGGGCCCATCATTGATTGCGCTGTGAATGCGTGCCAACTCGCTGAAGCAATTGTGGCTGATAGGAGACGCTGCCTGCGCGTGTTGGAGATTTATCACAGGAGCGTGCACATGCGGGTGGCTCTTGTGGACCCCACTCAGCAAAGAAGCCACCCACAAGGGGGGGAGAGCGATTATGGGATCAGCCAAACAACAAAGAAAGGCCAGATTTAAAAGAGGGAGTCAAAGCACTTGATATAAGTGTGGACCTCCTCTGCACAAAAATAAAATAGGTGTCAATATTACTTTAAAGATACAAAAGTAAATGATATACAAGTGTAGATAATTGGTAAAAGAAAAAGAGAAAAAATGCAAAGCTAACACCTCCACCACTTAGGACATTAACCTGGGAATCCGGCGAATCAGCTGGCCGCCCTAAACCCGTTTATCCTGAGACTTTTTCTGTGCTTAGGCCGCGGCACAGGATTATCTGCCAACAACCTGACACAATGCGCTCAAATTTCATCACAGGGCGAGAAGAGACCATTTCTGTGTGATCACATAGACCGGTCTCCTCGCATCACTCCAGCCATTGCTAAGGAAACCACAATGCCATTGTGAGCCAGGGAATCGGGAAGGGTTGGTCGCCATGACGACGCTTGCAGCCTTTTTAAGCCTGACTTCCTGAGAAGAAAGGGCAGCTTATGAGATAAGTCTGTCTGTGACCAGCGACACCAACTAAACCGCCAGGATATAGGACAGCTCGTTCCATGAGGCGTGCAGGAGGACAGCCATCTTCCCTGAGAGAAGGCACCGATCGGCTACAACACATCACCCGGTGCTGGTGCAACCATACGCGCGCTCTGCGGACTAACCTAAAGTGATAAAGGGCTCTGTTACAAAGAGACAATCCGCTTCCCATTGAGGAATTGGGAAAGATCTTTAAAGAATGCAAATTATTATTATCATTTTTATTATTATTAATATTTTTACTATTAATGTTATCATCATTATTATTATTATCATCATCATTATTATTCTTATTATCATTGTTATTATTATCATTTTTATTATTATTATCATTATCATTACTACTATTATTTTTATTAATCTTTTTTATTATTATTATTGCTATTATTATTATGATTATTATTATTCTTATTATCATTTTTATTATTTATTTTTTTTCAGGATTTTATAGCCGCATCCATTTGCACAGCACTGTACAAAATCAAGGTTTATAATAAAAGTTTCAGTTTGAAATGGTTATTATATCTCATACTACTTTTTTTCTCGAATAACTCTTATGTGAATCTCTTACGCACATCATTTTTTGTTGTATCTTTCTTTAGCACTGATGAAGGGGGATTTTTTTGGCCTCCCGAAATGCTTTGTCGGTTTTGTGTAACTTTTGTGATAATCGAGGAGGAATAAAATACATGTCTATACTCAATACATGTGTTAGGCACTCTTTCTGGTTTGGCTACATGCAGATTTCTCAAGCTAGGTGCCCCCCATACAGAAAGGTCACAGTACAGTACAGTTACAATGAAGGAGGGTTAGGGGGGCCCTGCTCATTAGAGCTTACAATCTAAACGATAATAATATAAAACACAACAATTTTTATAAAGAGTGAATATCCATCTGATATAATAAAGCAATTAG